TGAGTGGACTTCAACTCCCAGAATGCTGGCTGGGGGATTCTGGGAGTTGAAGTCCACTCATTTTAAAGTGGCCAAGTTTGGACAACACTGACCTACAGGAACCCTTGAATATTTTTCAGGTCTCAGGGAACCCCTGCATAAAAATTGCAAAAAATAACAGAAACTTTACAATGCAATTTTCTTCTAACCTACACAATCCACATTTTACAGTATTTACAGTAACAGCAAAGCAGCAGGCCAGCAGCTGAGTTGTGGCATGTGAAAATTCTTATCTTTGTTAGCACTAGCATTATACGACATGCAAAGTTTTAAAAATTATGTGTTTTGACCTTAATCAAATTAACACAGAAATAAAAATAAATTCAAAGGGAAGGTACACTGCAGAGTCTGTTAGTTTTTAGAGATGCTACTGAGGGCATAGTGCATACTGAGTTGGAAACATGATCTTCCAATTAAATGGGAATTATTCCTCAGTGAGGGTCCATCTTATGTCCTGCTTCATTCTTCATGTCCTGCTTGCCACAGCACAATTTTGAGGTATGTGTCTTCCTGATGTCACTTCTATCTTAACCCTAGCCTGCTGCCTAGAAAGCCTTCAGTGTTTAATTGTATTGGTGTGGAGGTAGTGTTTTCCTTCCTCACACAAAACTTGCTATTCAGACAATCTGGGATACCTTGGGCATGAGCCCAGGGATGATCAGGGGCTAGGAACTGCCCATGTTCTTCTGAATGTGGAAATCCACTAAGGAAAAGCCCTCTTTCTGTCTGGGACTGGAAAAGGGCCCTGCATGATCATTTTGCCTTCAGTGGCAAGAGTGATGGACACCTGGCTCCTGCAGCTCATTTCTTTTGGGAGAGGGTTGACATGATGCTGGAGAGAATCCACACCCTGACCTACATTCAGGGGAACAATTGGTGGTTGATTTTCCTGCTGGCTGGTGATACTCAGTGGGAGGAGAGAGTATGATAAGGAATTCACTAATCACTGCCTTGAAACTACTCTGTGTTATATTCTATCAAGGGAGAACACTGCTCAGTCTCATTGCTGAGGCATTCTAAAATTGGGCTGGAGGGGGCAATGCAACTGATGTTGACATACTTTCTCCCCAATTCAAGAAGGTGAGGAAAGAACATTACAGTCACATTTAGTTTTACTGTATGACCCAGAACTGTAACATTGCGAAAAGGAGAAAAAATCCCTTATCTCTACCCATATTTTCCATACTAGTACAATTTAGTTCTCTAAACTGGGATAAAATGAGAACTGGTGTTTATACAGCTTTTTTGCAACAAGATGAGAACTGTTGTGTTGTAGATGCTACATGATACTATCTGTTGATGTTGAAGAAAGGTGATTTTATGGATTTGGCCTGTGTTGCAGTTTCTTTCCTGGAATTGTTGTCTCCCTGAGATGGTTCCAATTTTGCTAATGTGATTTGTGTTCTTCAACCTCAACTGCCAGTTGTGTGGCAATTAGCTATAGCACAGTGTTTTCATCCAATTGCAAATAATTACAAATGCCTATGGGACTTGTAGGAGAGTGATGTGGTTTGAAAGCATAAAATAGGGCCATTCAAGCAAACCACTCTCATATTTACACACTGCTTGTCATAATGTGCAGTATTGCACCAATGTTCTTAATGACAGAACTATAATCACAAAAATATCCCACCTAAAATTATCTCATGAAACTGATTGGGCAACTCTTTCTAGAAGACAAGGATGGGAAATGAATATTAAGAATGCATGCATACATATCTGAAATTTACCTCTAAGTTTCCACAAAGCAAGCATTAATAATATACAGTAAGGTAGCTTCAATGAGGTATGACCATATTGAGCTTTACCACTTAGGATACTTTTAGATAATAGCCAGGCTAACTCAGAATTGGATCACTCTGTGATAGCCTTTTCTAACCCAGCATTCTTTCAGCTAAAAATTCTGGGAGTTGCTCTCTCAATACTTCTGGAGGGCACCAGGCTGGGAAGGTTGTTCTATGAGATCAAACAGTAGAGTAAGAGATGTGTCTTCCTTCAACTTCATATCATCTGAAATGAGAAATTGAAGGATGAGTCAGTTTAAATGACAAGCATGCAACAAAGTTAATACAGAGGTAGATCAAGGTCTCTTGACATTAGCTTTCACAATCTTGAAACCATTCTATTTGTGAATGGCATTGGTTGCCCCCATCTTGTAAGTGGTTGTAAAATTATTCCCAGTGATCTTGATAATTTCTTTAGAACTCAGGTGCTGTTTTGAAGTATCTTGGTGAAAAGTGTTACTGCTGGTGTTGCTGTTTTCAATTGCATCTTTTTTTTTCATGTGTAAGTCTCTCTAGATGCCTATACTTCCCAGTCTGAGAAAGCCCAATGAGGAGAAAATCTTTTGTCATCCTAAAACCTTAGGATTTAACTGAACTATGAAAAACCAGAGAGGTTTCTTGACCCTGGAAAGAAGATTCTACATTGAGAGCTCAATCCCTTTGCCACCTTGTAGTACAACACCATCACATGTCAGTTTTGAGAATTTCACCCAAATATATCTCCTCTTTTGTTAAATCAGAATTGGGAGGACAAAATGCAAATATTTTTGTATAGGGGTAGTAGGGATATCTTTTCACATCTTGAAGTACCAATCAATGAAGGACACACATCTACAAGTCTCTTATGTCCAAAGCTGTCCAACCATACCACTGATCTTTTTTGTGGACATTGGCTGAAATAGCACTAACTCAAGCTGTAATTCTGATTCTTACCTCAGAGGTCACACAGGTATCATCAAAGGATACTTTTGTGGATGGCAAGTAAGCTTCTGTAACAGTAATGTCCTCTAGTTCAGTGTTGAAATGTTCAGATTCCTTGATGATGCTGTAGTTGAGGGCCACACTGTAGTTGGCAGGTTTCTCCAGCTGTTTCTGTTGGCACTTACAGAGTTTTTTGAAGGCTGCTCGAAACTTTTGGGACATGAGATTGTAAATAACAGGGTTGATGGCACTATTAAGGTAAATGCAGATCCTACAGAACAGCAGGAACCACTGTTCTTGGAAAGGTTGAGGCAGGAAGGAGTTAATGACCACCAAGGTTCTGTAGGGCATCCACAAAAAGGCAAATAGGATTACAACCACAGCCAGCATCTTGGTAACCTATGGGAAGTGAATGGACATATCTGATGAGCAAAAATGGAGTAACATGAATCTTCTTAATAATCTAATGCAAGGACAGAGAACGATTGTTTTACACAACTCCATCAATCTGACCATCACCATAATGGATGGGACAGATGGGAGTAGAGTCCTATAATATCTGGAGGGCTACCAGTTCCTCATACCAGGATAATGGATGTCATTTGAATTATTTAAACTCTGAATCATCATCATCATCATCATCATCATCATCATCATCATCATCATCATCTTGTTTGGACATTGATTTGTAGAGTTTTGTAAGCTGATTTGAAAATTTTAACTGAAGGGTGACATATAAATCTGCCGAAAACCTTTCATGACATTGAGATAATGAAAAATAGGAATCATTTCAGGACTCACAAAAACTTCTTCCCACCTTTGTGTGTTCAGTGAATTAACTGGACATTCTTCCTCCCTCTCTCTGTCTTCTTCTTCTTGACATTAGATTTTCTCTCAAAATCTTTTCTCCCAAGAAAGCTAAAAACAAAACCTACATTAACTTAGTGGAGACTGAATAGTTCATACCTTGAGCCATGTAAATCTTGCATAATGGCTCTAGATACAACCATAGTATAGTGTAGCGTTTCTCAACTTTGGCAACTTGAAAATGTGTGAACTTCAACACCCAGAATTCCCCCCCCCCCCACCCTATCGCGGGGGGGTGTGGTTTGTGGGGTTGATACCTTTTTTTTACTTTACCTGTGCTTTGAGCAGCAACACACCACAACTTTAGTTC